TATGATATCATTTAAATCAGATGAAACTTACATTCTGACTAATTAAATATAAACACAAATATCCCCCCAAAAGTCAGTTGAATCTGCCTGAGAAACTAAACCATTTTCTCAATTAGAAGTAAAGTGTCCTTATTAAGACATCCGAAAAGAAATCGGAGACTACGTCTAACACAACTTCCCTAACATAAACACACACATACATAATAATATTGGAAAACAAAATATTAAGGTGAAAGTGTCACAGAAATCTGTAAAACTCTAGTCACTAAATAGTATTTTTAAAATACTGAAGGGCCGGGCGCGGTGGCTCAAGCCTGTAATCCCAGCACTTTGGGAGGCCGAGGCGGGTGGATCACGAGGTCAAGAGATCAAGACCATCCTGGTCAACATGGTGAAACCCCGTCTCTACTAAAAATACAAAAAATTAGCTGGGCATGGTGGCGTGTGCCTGTAATCCCAGCGACTCAGGAGGCTGAGGCAGGAGAATTGCCTGAACCCAGGAGACGGAGGTTGCGGTGAGCCGAGATCGCGCCATTGCACTCCAGCCTGGGTAGCAAGAGCGAAACCCCGTCCCAAAAAAAAAAAAAAAAAAAATACTGAAATATGGCCAGGCATGATGGCTCACGCCTGCAATCCCAGCACTTTGGGAGGCCTAGGCAGGCAGATCAGCTAACATTGGGCCAGCCTGGCCAACATGGCAAAACTCGGTCTCTACCAAAAATATAAAAATTAGTCAGGCATAATGGCGCGTGCCTGTAGTCCCCGGTACTCGGGAGGCTGAGGCAGGACAATCACTTGAGCCTGACGAGGGCAGAGTTTTACAGTGAGCCGAGATAGTGCCATTGCACTCTAGCCTAGGCAACAGAGTGAGATTCCGGGGGGAAAAAAAAAAAACCACCACCACGAAATAACTGCATTTACTAAATAACACATAAATAAACCTTGGAAGTTTATTTTACTTTAAATGATGTTTCAGTCTACATCATTTTGTATAACAGTAACATGGGATAGGACAAGAAACCATGATTATCACCTGAAGATTATATCCAAAAGCAAAACTCAGCAAGTAGGATATAACAGAATGCAATTATGTTTCATTACATTAAGTCTTAAGTTCTTCTACTAAAGAAATCATCCTTCAAACAAAAGCATCTGCACTTTCCCAAAGACAGAACTGTACTGACTGTAGAACTAGAAAAGAGTAGGATTTTAAAGGTGAAATGAAAAATTAATGACACTCCTACAGAAACTAATTTATGCCTCTACTCCTGATCCAACAAGGACAGAACACGTCATTAACAGTCACATGGACAGGAGTCCGCTCTTCCCGCAATGTTAAGAAACTATTACTGATATATTAGTATGTAGTAAAGTAGGCTTCCTATCAATTATTTGTGAAAGAATGATTACTCTAAAAACAAGTCTATCGAAGGAAAAAAAAAAAAATATATATATATATATAAAACACTTAAGAATATCAAATAGAGGCCAGGCATGGTGGCTCACACCTGTAACCAGCACTTTGGGAAGCCAAAGGCAGGCAGATCACATGAGGTCAGGAGATCAGCCTGACCAACATGGTGAAACCCTGTCTCTACCAAAAATACAAAAATTAGCCAGGTATGGTGGTGAGCACCTGTAATCCCAGCTACTCGGGAGGCTGAGGCAGGGGAATTGCTTGAACCCAGGAGGTGGAGGTTGCAGTGAGTCGAGATCGCACCACTGCACTCCAGCCTGGGTGACAAGAGCAAGACTCCGTCTCCAAAAAAATAATAATTAAAAAAAAAGATAAAAATAGGTTTATCTAACAGTTTTTTTTATCCCCAAACTTCCCCACAGCCCCCCACAATTTTACAAGTGTCTCTTTTTCCCCCCAATTAAAAGTACAAGTCAAGCTATTCTAAGTTTTTTAACTTCTGCTAGCCATTCCCAATCTTATCTCCTTGACCACTTTCCAGAGAACAATTCTTAAGACACTGAATAAGCCAAAGTAGAGGTCTGTTTACTTAAAATGTGTATCACAAAAAGCAAAAATGACCTCGGGATTTTATCCTGCTAGCACCAATCCAATCACTAAAACCTACTACTTTTGTTAAGGGCATGGGAGAACAAAACATTATTCAAGTTTAATATTTCCATTATCTATCAATAAGTTTTTGCTTGCAATTGTGATGGTTTGCTTAATAATTTTGGTAAGACTTCTAGAATTACACTTTTTTTTGAGACAGAGTCTTGCTTTATTGCCCAGGCTGGAGTGCAGTGTCACGATCTTGGCTCACTGCAACCTCTGCCTCCCGCATTCAAGCAATTCTCCTGCCTCAGCCTCCCAAGTAGCTGGAACTACAGTGCGCCACCATGCCCGGCTAATTTTTCAATTTTTTAGTAGAGACAGGGTTTCACCATGTTGGCCAGGCTGGTCTTGAACTCCTGATCTCAGCTGATCCACCTGCCTCAGCCTCCCAAAGTGCTGGGATTACAGGCATGAGCTACTCCACCCAGGCTAGAATTACATTTTAAATATTGGAAATTTTTGTTTGCCTATTTATCTTACTGTATTGCTCTCAAATCAACTACTTAGAGCAACCCTAAATAAAACATAAGGATGTGACTATCTAACACAACTAATGTATGATTTGAAAATAAACACGGTCTATATGAGAGTTAAACAGAAATACACTTTGTCATTTTGAAAAAAAGGATTCACTTGCTAAGTGCATCCCCAATTTTAAGAGTCCTATCAATTCCACTTAAATATTTCTGTATCCTTTCCTTTGCACACTGCCTAGAAATTTTCACATTTTTCACATTCAACACCATTACTATTGTGTCTCAGGCAGCTAAACTGAAGTAGCTCAGTACTCAGTTCAACTGAGAGGTCAATGTGCCTCAGTTGCCTGTAGACTGATGGTTACTACAGCAGCACCAGATAAGCCAGGTTAAATAAGCTTCAGCTTGAAGACAGAAAGCATTTACCACTGAACAGAAAAATAGATGCAGGCATCTCAGTACATAGCATGTAAATCTAACTGGATGATCACATTTGTAAGCCGTCTTTCTGAAACATGGAGAGAGGATAAATAGTAAAGATTTTAATTGAACTGAATCCTGGATTACTTACAACTATGATGTCTTTGTTCTTCAGCTGAGTCACATGTTAAGTGGAATTTTTCCTCTAGCTATGAATTTCTCTTCACTACCACTTCCCTGATGCTCACAACCATGATGTGGCTCACAACCATGGCTCACAACCATGATGAATGAGAAGAAATGAGGATTTTTGCTTAACTCAGCCAGGAATTAACCAGAGAGTAAACAAACAGATTTTTATACACAGAAAAGAAAAATGCACATTGAAAATGTTCATGTGAGACTTTGTCCAAGGATATAAAACTATCAACAGCCTATGGTTACACTTAATTAAAAAGAGATAAAACCATTTTTAAGAACCATTCGTTCATTTATCCTTTCACCCTCTCTAACCCCAAACCCCTGTTATGGCTACCTCACTTTTATAGTGAAATGAACTACAGAAAAACTCTGCTAAAGTAATCAGATTCCTCTAACTCAAGTTGAGAGGTTCACCAAATAGTTGACTTTCATCTTCAAAGATGATACTACTAATCATGCCATTGATTTTCTGTGCCAAATTGTCTGAGGTTGATTCTAATATGTAATTTTAGCAGCAACTGCTTGCACTGTGCCATTCACACACGCATCAAAAATAACCTAATGTTGTGTTTGCCAGAAAAGTGTATACCTATCCTAATGACCCACGTAATAGAAATTATGCACACATTCATAAAGCTTAAGTTGACAGCAACTTACAAACAACTACTTTAACTAGTTGTTCATTATTAGACATTTGTCCCTGTGACCATTTTCTTGACTGTTAAAAGACTACTAGAGCTGTGGAAAAATGAAAATAAAATTGTAAATAATTCCAAATAAATAAAAATATATACTTTGGAAATCTTAAGTGATTGTCTTTGGGGAAGAGAGTGTAATGTGAAGGGAGGGAGGTTACATCATTCCCCCTGCACTGTCCTATTTATAAAACTCAAGATTAAAATTTTCTTATTTGACTCTTTTAAAACATCCTGGCCAGGCGCGGTAGCTCACACCTGTAATCCCAACACTTTGGGAGGACAAGGTGGGTGGATTACCTGACGAGGTCAGGGGTTGAAGACCAGCCTGGCCAACATAGCGAAACCCTGTTTCTACTAAAAATACAAAAATTAGCCAGGCATGGTGGTGTGTGCCTGTAATCTCAGCTAGTTGGGAAGTTGAGGTAGGAGAATTGCTTGAACCCAGGAGGTGGAGGTGCAGTGAGCAGAGATTATGCCATTGCATTTCAGCCTGGGCAACAGAGCAAACCTGCCTCAAAAAAAAAAAAAAAAAAAAAAAATTTTTTTTTAAATCCTGTAGACTAGGTCACCTATCAAACTATAAATCTAAAGTCAGATGAAAGGGGTACACAAATGGGAAAAACTATATATTCATCACTATTTACAATATTTACAAATACTATTCTCTCCCACTAGGAGGAAAAATGTATAGTGCCTGAAGCAATCATTCGGTCTTTAACCTATATTCTCCTACACTGGTTTTTAAAACTTTACAAAGACTTCATATATTATTTGTGTAAATTTTTAAATTATGAAAGGAATTTTAAAAATCATAAGAGTCCAAAACTGACTCATACTTTGTGGGTCCCACTTTTTTAAAGAAAGAATAAAAGATCCCCTGAAATTATATTTTGCATAATTCAGACAAAATTTAAAACCCAGAAATTAAAAAGAATTAGTTGGTGCCCATACACTCATCCATCCTCTCTCATGAATACCATGTAAAAATACCTATCATTTTCACTAACACATTAATACAAATTCAGATATTTCACAATTCCTACAGAAGATCCTATTTTGTTTCTCCTCTAATGAAACTCATTTAAAAACGAGCAACCCACCTACTACCTGTCACATGATAGTGTAACAACTTACCTGAGTTGTAGCAACAGCAGGGGCTGCAGATGACACTGCTGAGGGAGAGAGTGCTCCCACTTGTTGCAAATGCCCAGAAGACTGTTGAGGTAAGTGAGAGCTGGAGACAGGAGTACTAGATCCCGAGCCAGATACTACATTTGGAAATGATACTGCTACATCATTGCTGTTATAAATACCTGCAAGAAAACAAATTTTATTTAGATACTTTATAACTTAGCAGTCAAATTTGTCACAGACACACGATATTAATCAGTAAACTTGCATTTCCTCCTGAATCCCTCCCCCAATTATAAATTTTATTGTTGGTGTTTAAAAAATATTGTGCTAGTAACTAAATGAATAAACACTGACTTTTCATAAAGTAGTTGTCTAAAAGAACCTACAACATTTTTATTCAGGAAAAAAAGTCCTCTGTTAAAAGCAGGGACTAGGAGGAAGAACTTTGTTTAAAAAAAAAAAAAATGTGAGTTTTAAGAGCTTCTAAGAGCAAGAAAACATTTCTTAGCAGAGGAATAAAGCAATTAGAGTTGCATAAAAATCACCTAATAGGCCTTCCAAAAGGCAAATGCTAAGGCCCTAGAAATCATGAGTGAGAAAGTCTGAGGTAGGAAGAGACCCTGTTCTAGAAAGGCGACAAGGTAGAGATTAAAGTGGAACAGGCCCAGACTTGAAATTCAGAAACCAATAGAGGAGATGATGACCACTGGTGGGAGACAGGTGTGGGAATAAAGAATGTAGGTAGATTCTAGAGACATTCCAGAGATAACATAGATAGGACTTTGTGACTGTATAGGGCGGCTGCAGGGTTAGGAGTGGAGGAAGGATTAAGACATGATGAACTGGGTTGTGAGTTGGCAGCTCCATTCACTCCAGAGAACACAGGAGGTGAAAATCATAGGAGACTTGATAAAAACACTTTGAGAAGCACCATGGAGATAAAAGCCAGAAATAAAGTGGGAAATGGAAGCTATTCACTCTAGAAAAGAGGATGGAAGGGGAGAGGTGGAAGTAATGAGAATAAGTTAAGAGGAAATGAATTAATTTTTAAAAATGATTATTTTTTTAAATGAAAAATCATGCTCATACTCTGATAACAAATAACTCATAGAGAAGGGGAGGCTTTCAGGATAAAGAAATAGGAATATCTATACACCAGTTGTTCTCAACCAGGTGTGATTTATGCCTGACAAAGAGACATTTCACAATATCTAGAGACATTTTTAGTTATCAAGCCTGGAGGGTGCTATTGGCATCCAATGAGTATAGGCCAGGGATGCTACTAAACATCTAACAATGCACAGGACAGCCTCCACAACTAAGAAATAACTGGCCCATAGTGTGAATAGTGCGAGGCCGAGCAACCTTGCTATAAACCAGAGCTCTTGGAAGCGCAAGAGGGAAGAAGAGCCTAAGACCCAGGTATGGAAACAGGAGGAAAGAATGAATCTAAGTGAACTGCAATTCCAAAAAAAAAAAAAAAAAAACACCTTTTTTTTTAAAGCAATTGTAGCCCTAGAGAACAACAATAATTAGTAATTTATATCAACAATACAATTTACTTTGTTTGTTCTTTAGAACAAAGTAAGATGTGGCCAGGCGTGGTGGGTCACGCCTGTAATCCCAGCACTTTGGGAGGCTGAGGCAGGTAGATCACGAGGTCAGGAGATCGAGACCATCCTGGTCAACACAGTGAGACCCCCATCTCTACTAAAAATACAAAAAAATAAGCCATGCATGGTGGTGCGTGTCTGTAGTCCCAGCTTCTTGGGAGGCTGAGCAGGAGCATTGCTTGAACCTGAGAGGTTGAGGTTTCAGTGAGCCGAGATCATGCCACTGTGCTCCAGCCCGGCAGCAAAGTGAGACTTTTCTCAAAAAAGAAAAGAAAAACAAAAATAAAACAAAGTAAATTGTATTGTTGATATAAATTACTAATTATTGTTGTTCTCTTGTAAAATCAGAATTCAAACTCACAGCTGTCCTATAAATGAAAGCACTTCCTAATACAAGTTAGAAGTTCAGGGCCATGGTCTTTGTGATGCCTGTGGACTCGGAACTCCTATATATAGAACACAATGGTATAAGCCTAAAACTCAGCAGAAAATTCAGATCTGAAAACATAAATCTAGGAGTGAAAAGCGTAGTAAGTTACAGTAAGTAAACTTGCAAACTAAAAATACTACTAGTCTGCACTATGGTTGAAATTTTAACTAGTTGCTCATATTTATTATAGAAATATAGAAAGTTCCCCTTAAAAACTCAATGTCTAATATCTATCTGCCAACACTTGATACTGTAGTAAGAAAGAGCAACAATCTGGCCAGAGTGCTGAATATGGCATAGAATCTTTAATCCATCAGTGTCTCCATCATTGCTTACCATGTTACACATTTATGTTACCTATGAGGCCCCCTAAGTATCTGATTTACAACTCTCAATATGAACACAATGGACAAGGCCAAGGAACAAAAATAGGATCACTCAGGGAAAGTCTCAGTATGATCAAGAGAAGAGGACCACAAATAGAACCCTAGAGAACATTAACAATTAAAGGGTAAACAAACAAAAATTGACAACAAAGGACAAACTTAGAAAACTAAGATAGAGAATTTCAAAGGAATGGCTGGGTGTGGTGGTGGTTCACACCTATAATCCTAGCACTTTGGGAGCCCAAGGTGAGTAGATCCCTTGGATCCCAGGACCAGCCTGGGCAACACAGTGAAATCCCATCTCTACCAAAAATACGAAATTAGCTGGGCGTGGTGCCAAGCATGGTGGTATATGCCTGTAGTCCCAGCTACTTGGGAGACTAAGGTGGGAGAATTGCTTGAGACTGAGAAGTTGAGGCTACAGTGAGCCAAGATTGTGCCACTGCACTCCAGCCTCAAATTTAAAAAAGAAAAACAAGTTTGGCTAAGGACAGGAAAGAAACAGCATGTTAATTAAGTGATTATTTATAAACCTTATATTCCAAATAACACATAGCAGAGAAAAAGATACACATTTTTGAAGGTTGTTATTCCATAGATAATCCAACAAATATCGAGTCTCTATTAAACTCAGTGTTTTCAAAGTATCTTAGAAGATAAAATGCTGCAGCTGGGATGTGGTGGCTCACACCCGTATTCCCAGCACTTTGGGTGGGCAAGGTGGGTGCATCACCTGAGGTCAGGAGTTCGAGACCAGCCTGGCCAATATGGCGAAACCCATCTACTAAAATACAAAACTTAGCCAGGTGTGCTGGTGCATGCCAGTAGTCCCAGCTACTCGGGAGGCTGAGGCAGAGAATCACTTGAGAGGTGGAGGTTACAGTGAGTCAAGATCACGCCACTGCACTCCAGACTGGGCAACAGAATAAGACTCCGTCTAAAAAAAAAGAAAGAAGAAAAAAGATAAAAGGCTGATTATCTAGTTATTTTGGAGATGAAAAGTATACCATAAAGGGAATATCCAACTTCTAAAACAAGAAGACAAAAGTCACCTCTGGAGGCAGCATGCTGAAATCGAAATAGCACAAGGTTGTGACTTAGATAAAACTGGGTTCAAAATGCTGGATCTGTCACCTACATGATCTGAATCAAACTACTTAACCCTTCTGAGCCTCCATATTATTCTTATCTATAAAACAAAGTTAATAGCTACCTTAAAGCCTTTTTGTGAGATTTTAGCTGGGCGTGGTGGCTCACGCCTGTAATCCCAGCACTTTGTGAGACTGAGACGGGTGAATCACCTGAGGTCAAAAGTTTGAGACCAGCCTGGCCAATATGGTAAAACCCCATCTCTACTAAAAAATAAAAATAAAAATAAATAAGGTAAAGTAGAAAAATATTTAAAAAAGACTTTTTGTGAGATTTTGAGAGTATCCATATAAAAAGGTCTAGCAATGCCCACCATGGAGTAAGTTTCAATAATTGGTAGCTACAGCCATTGCGGTGTTAATGATTTCATTAAAAATGTATCTGTAGTCAGGAAAGTACACTGTTGTAACCACCAGGTCCTCTAATGTCTCTATTACACTTTGAAAGCTGTAATTACCATCACAACATACAGTAAAACATCTTGGAAGAATAAAACTGAGAAGCAAAATTGTGGTGATTAGGGACCTTCAATCTCAAAACTTAAATTGTTTTTATATTACATCAATGTATACTTACATAGGAAATTACGCAGCTAAATGTGCAATCCAGTAATCACACTTTCAAACAATATCTGGTACTCAGTTTACTGATATAAAAAACAACAGAACAAAATGTTCCTTTCTTATCAAGGCAGGAAAGCTTAAAATTCTAAATCTTTATTTGAAAATGAAAATAATTGATTTCCTTCAACTTCCTTGCTCCTCAGGTAGGAATGGTACAACATCCACCTTAAATTCTTCTGTATCTGCTTTCTATTTAACTTCACTCTATTTCCATCTTACATAAGACATATGCTGTTTTTAACTAGAATCAAGGTGACACTCACTGGATTAAACACAGCTAAATGATATACTGCATGAGCTCCAAGAAAATACCCTGAAATTCATCTGTTCGGGATAGGGAGTAGAAACAAAGACGCAGAATAATACAAAGGGTGGCAATGACATATTGATTCCTTCTTTTCCTTCCTTTTCTTCCCTTCCTTCCTTTCATCAAACAAATATTTAGTAGGTATGAGGAATCAGGCTAGGAGCTGGGATAATGTAAGGAGCAAGACAGAGAATATTTTAGCTCTCTGGGAATTCACAATTTAAGGAAAAAGGCAAACATTAAAACAAATACATGAATATAAATTCCAACAATACAATAATGGAAGAGAGAAAGGTACCACCAGAGTGAAATATTAGGAAGCAAGAAAGACCTGTCTAAAGAAATATTTAAGCCAAGGCCTAAGAGTCAGGTAGGTGTTAACTGGACAAAAAATAAGACAGAAAAACTTGTTCAAAAGACCCTGAAATATTGAAGGAAGAAAAAACAGGTAATATAGCTAAAGCCTAGTGGCAAGACTGGTAAAAGACAAAGTCAGAGAGAGGAGAAAGAACATCTCATAAGGCCTTGTGAGCCACATACAGGTGTTCAGAATTTATGCTAAGATCAAAAGGAAGACGCCAAAGGCAGATTGTAAAGCTCACATTTTAAAAAGATCATCCCTCTGACTCCTATGTAGCAAAGGGACTAATGGGGATAAAGAGAAACAAATA